CTCTGTCCTCCCCAGCCATGCCCATGTGCACCTGGGTCTGTGTGTGGACAGAGCCTCTGGACGGGGCCGGTGTCTGCACACCATGTACTCGGGTTTGTCTGTCTACTGCATGTGTGTGTGTGGCATAGGAGTGGAATAAAGGAGGCGGGGCCTGGTGTTCGAAGAGTGGTGACCCACACACAGAGCACAAAGGCAGATGAGCATCTGCTCTAGGGCCTGGTGAGACTAACGACAGATAGGAGGCTAGCACAAGTACCAAAGCCCAGAGCCCTCAGCCAGATGGAATTCCCTCCTACTTGGCGATTCCAGCCCACATTGCCAGGCTTCCTCAACACCAATCATGGCCTTATAATTCCTAGTATGGCCCTCCCTAGGAGGGTCTTCTCTGACCCTTCTTTCTGCCACGAGACCACAGAGGCTCCATGAGTAAGATTGACGAGAGAGTGGGAGTTTGCCAGGAGAGGAAGGGCATGCTGATGAGGGACCAGAAGTGAAGGCTCTAACGGAGAGCTGAAAGATTGCTAGAGGAAGGTAAGGGTTTTCCAAACTCCGTCCCTCCAGGAGGCCCCACAGGAGTAGCCCTCATTAAAGAGAGTAATCACCGCGGCACTGATAGCAGATTCAACCATTAATTAGCTCACCCAGCCATCAACAGGCTTGCCTGCTGGAGTAGGTGCGTAGACACGGCGGGTATGAGGCTGAAGGAGACTGAAGAACAGCTGGGCGGGTTCCCTAGCCCTAACCCTAGTTAGGAATCCTGGTCAGGGGACCCGCCTAGGAAAAGGGGTCCCTGTGAGATGACCGGCTCCAGGATAGGAAGGTTTCTAGATGTGGGAAAAGAAGCAGTTCAGGATGAGAGTGGAGAGGGGGTGTTTGGAAGGTTTGGGGGTTCAACACAGGTTGTGGAAGTTGTATCCAGGAAGCATCTTTGGACACTGGTTGAGGTCCCTGTGTGTGTCATCCTGGCCCAGCACAAGGACACAGACCTACCTGCTGTACACTCACTAGACTTGGAGAGAGCAGAGTGAACTTCCCCACTGGCCTGTGTCCTTTCTTCCACCTGAGCTTGCCTGCTCAGGCCCAGCTCCTAGGCCTGTAGGTCAGAGGTCCCACAGCCCAGGCTTAGGTGTTGCTCAATACACTAGGATCCCCCAACGTTATCATGGGCCCAGAGGGGAGACCAGCAGCAAACAGCGACTTCCTGCAGCCACAGCTGGGGCCCCAGATAAAGACTGCTAGAGCCCGGTGACCCTTCTAGGGACACCCTTTAGGCACACCTCCCACACGACCACTTCTGGGCCCACATTCTGCTTGGCCCTGGCTGACCTGCACAGTTCCAAGGGACCACTGTGGGATGGAGATTTCTTCCTTGGTATGGTTCCCATCAGCCCGTCCCTCCCCTGAGCCACAAGGCTCCAGAAGGAGACTTAGGGGCCCACTCTCTAGCACCCTGTCTCTGCCCTCCACCTCTCTCTCTCCCTCTCTCCCTCTCTCTCTCTCTAATCCTTATACCAGGACAGTTGATGATCAAGTGGGAGGAAGAAGTGTCAGCCTCTTCCCAACCAGACCCACAGGGTCTCCTGGTTCTCTTCCACACCCCTTTCCTCTGCATTTTGCATCCTGTAGACTAGACCCTGGCATCCATAGTGCCCAGACTCTACTTCACAAGGCAGAGGGAATCACAGCCAGGCATCTAGAAAAGCAGCAGGGACAGGCTTCCCAGAGACATAGGGGGCCCTGGAAACCTGGCTTTCTAAAAGGCCTCATGAGTTTTTAGACCAGGTTATAGAGACCAGATTCCTGCTCCTACTTGGCCCTGAAGCCCTTTACCCACACAAAACTGTCCCCCCTGACTTCCGACACTAACCTTGCCACTGTTACCCCATCACTAAGCTCAGTGTTGCCCTAGTCACCACTCCCATACTACCACCACTGTTGTCACCAACAGCAGCATCTCTACCACTGGCCATGATGCACCAGACCTGCGAAGAAACCCTAACTGCAGGACAGCAATACGGCCCACCTCACCACCCCTAGTCTATCCAGGAGTGCGTACGCTGGCCTCAGGCCCCAGTAGAGAACACAGTTGTATGTGGAACTCATCCCACTCGTTTCCTTGCAGTGGTGACCCACACCATCTGGTCTGTCCTCCCGAGGAGATGTCAAGATCCATTCTCAACATGCCACTTCTCAAGGTGGCTGCCAGTGACAACTCGGGCCCTTTTCTTATATTCTGTATCTAGTCACACATGTAAACACTTTATAAACCAGGTTGTGAACACCTCTAATCCCAACCCTTGGTGCTGAAGGCAGAGAGATCAGAAATCCAAA